TGTATATATTCTGTTTCTCTCTCTTTTCTTTCCTCTTATTTAGGAATAACATCTCTTCTGCAAGAGGGGCCGAATGTCAGCCTCAGCTTTGCTTGCTTCAGCTGCCATAAGAAACGGGGGAGGGATTAGTTATGGGGCGAAGGGTGGGAAGATGCAGGAGGTGTTTTTTTTCCTTGTAGGACGTGTCTTCATAAGAAACGAAAGTGAATCTTCAAAGGGGACGGCTGACCAACTGCCCTACATTCCTGATGAATGACGCTGCCAGACGTGATGCCACCTGACCTTTGGAAGACCTTTGGATTGGCTGATGATCAATGGACACGGGGTGGGGGGAAGCTTAGTAGATGCATTTCGCGCGTTTTGCTCACTTCCAGCTTTACCTGGGTTGCGATCATTTCATATTCAGTAAAAGTACTAATCTCTTCAAAATGTTTGAGTTTGGGTTTTCCTTTCCTGGATATTGAAGGAAGCATACCTGACATATTTCATATTTTGCAACTACTATATCTTTTTCTTACTGAACCCATAAAGCAATAACTTTCTTTTATCCTTATTATTGCAGCAATCATATGCATTTGTTTTTTACAAATTAGTGGACCAGTGAAATACTGTGGATATAGTACACTTAGACTTCAGCAAGGCATTCAATGAAGTAGACCATAGTCTACTTCTTGGTAAGGTAGAAAAAAATGGAATAGATAGCATCATCATCAGATGGATTTATAACTAGCTGACAAACCATACTCAACGAGTAATCCTTAATGATACTAGGTCTACATGGAGGGAAGTAAGCAGTGGGCTACCACAATGTTCCATCTTAAGCCCAGTACTCTTCAGTATCTTCCTTAGATGAGGGAGTAGAAGGGGAACTTACCAAATTTGCAGATGATATTAATCTAGCAGGAATAGCCAACAGCCTGGATGATAGGCTCAAGATCCAGATGGATCTTGACAGACTTGAACACTGGGCCCTATCTAACAAAATGAAATTCAATGTAGAGAAAAGTAAACTCTTGCACTTAGGCAAGAAAAACCAAAAGTACACATATAAACTGGGTGATACCAGGCTTAATAGCAGCAACTGTGAGAGGGATCTTGGAGTCTTAATGGACAGCCAATAAAATGTGAGCCAACTATGTGCGGTGGCAGCCAAAAAAGCCAATCCAATCCTAAATTGTATTAACAGAGGGATTCAATCAAGATCAAGTGAGGTACTAATACCACTCTATAAAGCCTAGAATACTGCATCCAGTTTTGGTCACTACACTATAAAAAAGATGTTGAGTGCAGAGAAGAGCAACAAAGATGATTAGGGGACTGGAGGCTAAAACATATGAAGAATGGTTATAGAAACTGGGCATAGTGAAGAGAAGGACCAGGGGAGACATGATAGCAGTGTTCCAATATTTGAGGGGCTGTCACAGAGAAGAGGGTGTCAACTTGTTTTGCAAAGCACCTGAAGGCCAGACAGGGAATAATGATGGAAACTGATGAAGAAGAGATTCAACCTAGAGATTCACCAAAAAGGTGAAATTTTCTGACAGTGAGAACAATCAACCAATGGAACAGCTTGGCTTCCAAAGTTGTGGGGGCTTCATCACTGGAGGCTTTCAAGAAGAGACTAGACTGCCATCTGTCAGAAATGATGTAGGGTCTTCTGCTTGGGCAGGGGGTTAGACTACCTTGTAGGGATGACCTACAAGGTCTCTTCCAACTCTGTTAATCTGTTATCTGTTAACTTTTAATCACTCTATCAAGCATCTGTTGCCATGATTTCTCTTATTGTACCTCACACATTTTTGTCGGTTTTTTTCAGGCTTTTACAAAAAAAAACATTTGCATTATTTTCCTTATATCTTCTATCAATTGATTATCTTGGTAAATTAACCTATCTTCAATTTTTTTCATATAGGTCTTATAATGTCTTTTTCTGCAGCCATTCCATTTTCCATTTTTTTCTTTCCCTTTTTTCGTTTTCTATATACATTTTTGTACTTTCGTTTTCAGATTTTTGACACCTTTGTATCCTACCCTATTTATTTAAATCTTTCATCATAAATGATCAAATAATTATTTCAAAGTTCTATTTCTTTGCCATTTGTACATATAAATGTACAAATGGCAAAGAAATTTACAAAAATTTAAATTTACATTTAAAACACATATTCAAAACTTTTTTTTTTTACAAATAGACATTTATTCTCATTTATAATCTCCAAATGGCCAAATTACTTTTTATGCACTTTTTTTCCATTCAATAATTCATGTCATTTAAACAGGGAATGTTTCCCTTTGATCACATTCATTTAGAATGTGCTATTTTCTCTGAAAACTCATCTCTGGTTCATCCATGACCCCCTTTCATGATCATACAAATATCATAAAACTATAGGTGTCTGCATTCATAATAATCAAGTAATATTTTCTGCATTTTTTCTAATTCATTCATTCATTCATAACAGTGCTTTTTACTAAGACCCAAGAAGGTGTAGACTAGGTTAGCAGCCTTAGACATATCCTGCTAACAATAACAAAAATACTGATCAGCTACAGCCTACTTTGATCAGAATGTCATAACTGTGCTCAAAGTCCCACATATGCTCACACTAAGCAAGCTGGGATCTCTAAAGTAGAGGCTACCCTGCAAGCCAACATACTGTTAGTTGCAATTCAGCAATTCAAAGTACACTGAAGTATATTGACACATATTTATATAGACTTAAAATTACATTCTGTTGATTTATTTATTATTTTATTTACAGGATCATAAAAGGGTGGTTATTCAATGTAAAAAAGATGTTGAGACTTGGGTGCAGAGAAGAGCAACAAAGATAATTAAAGGGCTGGAGACTAAAACATATGAAGAACGGTTGCAGGAATTGGGTATGTGTAGTCTAGTGAAAGTGCAAGTAGAAAAATAGAGACCACCTTTGGTGGGAAGGTAACAGCATTCTGTGCACCTTTGGCATTTAGTCATGCCGGCCACATGACCATGGAGACATCTTCGGACAGCGCTGGCTCTTTGGCTTTGAAACGGAGATGAGCACTGCCCCTAGAGCCAGAAACAACTAGCACATATGTGCGAAGGGAATCTTTACCTTTACCTTTACCTTTACCTTTACCTTAGTCTAGTGAAAAGAAGGATTGGGGTGACATGATAGCACTGTTCCAATATTTGAGGGGCTGCCACAAAGAAGATGGGGTCAACCTATTCTCCAAAGCATCTTAAGGCAAAACAAGAAGCAATAAATAGAAACTAATCAAGGAGAGAACCAATCTAGAACTAAAGACAGACTTCCTGACAGTGTGAACAATTAACCAGTGAAACAGCTTGCCTCCAGAAGTTGTGGGTGCTCAATCACTGGAAGTTTTTAAGAAGAGATTGGACAGCCACTTGTCTGAAATGGTATAAGATCTCCTACTTTGGTGGGGGGTTGGACTAGAAGACCTCCAGCATCCCCCCATCTCTATTATTCTGTTCTGTTATTCTGTTATTCTTTCTATGATCATGTGTATCCACCCCATCAAGTCTGAAGAAAGTCCAGAATGGTGTAGGTTATCCTGCCATGGATAGGGGGTTGGACTAGAAGACCACCAAGGTGTTTGAGGATTCATCTGATTTACCATCTACCTATTTGCCATTCAGCCTCTCTATAAACTGCTGGAGGTAGGAAAAATATTCCTTGGAGATTTCAACATCCAGACTGCATTATGAGTGTGCTTCTCAACAACCATGACAACATGAAGGCATTTTCATATACCACTTGCACAACATACTGCAGAAGATATGTGCATGGTTTGATCCTGTAATATTAAGAGGATATGATGAAACATCACCATCTCTCTGTCACAACCAGAAGACTGGTAAACTGGAGAAATATTGGCTTATCTGAACTGATGTAAAGGTCACTAAGGTAGCCAGCCTACCACTCCTTAAAGAATGAATGTTCTGGGCGATTTCCCAAGAAACAGACTTTGCAATTTGAGTAGCAAACTAATCCAGAAAAAGTAAGGTATGCATTCTTCTGCCTTATCATACGTGGCAACTTTACCCAAAGGAAATGCCTGAAGCTTCAGTGGAACTCTTTTTTTCCTTCCATTACTTCACCAAAGCAGCAGGAGGAAAAAAGTAAACCTGCATCGTAGTACACTGCACAATGTAAAATGCCTTTAACAGTTGTCATAGGAACAACTGTACCCTCTCTCTTTTGTATAAAAAAGCAATGTGGAAAATGTGAGGGAAAATGGAAAATAGTGCATTCTGCCTATTCACTTTCAACAAGGTCTACAGGGAATGGATATAGTTTTACAGGTTTGGTTGAAATTGGTAAATTTAAAAAAAATTCTCGTTTGTCAGATTTATATAGCTCTGTAACTATATAAACTACCTTGGATGTTCATTCCAAAAAGAAACACATTTGTCATAGAAAGAAAATTAAACTAAAACTAAAGAAAAGTAATTATAATTTTTTACATGAAATAAAAAAACCTACACAAATTATAAATTCACCAATAAACGCCAAGTTGTATTGAAGAGTAATATTAAAAAATGTGCCAGATTCATGTATTGAGGCCATGTATTTATATTGTTACATTTTAAAATCTGTTCATTTAATGCAAGCAAGATCATATTTTCCTTTTGTTTAAATAATCTTTTATATTTAAAAGATTAATATTTATATTTGAATATTACCCTTCTTTTACCACTTTAGAGAAGTATATTGTTTCAAGATACAAACAGTATAATCCAACTAGGTATCTACTCAGAATCCCACTATGTTCAGTGGGATGCACGTACACTCCCAATAAGATGGCGTACAAGTGTAATCACAGAGCCCAAGGCTTTATCTTTCTAACTAGCTGGATCTAACAACTCGAGTCTTGTTAGATTTTTCAGGGCAAAGAGCGCGATTTGGGGACCCAAGTCTTCTCTAAACCTACTGAGACACCGCACCATCCCCGACCCCTCCAGGGCAGGCGAAGAAAAAAGCCAAGGATACGCTGTAAGCAGAAGGTGCCTTCCGTGGTCGTCGCTTCCTCCATGTTGTCTCCGACAGGAACTCAGCCCCGACGCGTTCTTGGGTTGCCCCTGGAAACCGCGCGGCCATCTTTTGCGGGGATTCGCCCTGTCAGGCTAGCAAGGCTGGCGCGAACTTCCGTTAACGGGATGATTGACCAGGTACTGAGGTCGGCGCCGCTCTATCCTCGCTACCTCTGTGGTCAGTGCCCCCGCGGCCGACTTTTCATTGGGGTGCAGTTTTATAGGCGAAACGTGAGTTTGATCGGTTTGATACGGTCACCTCTCCATCCGTTATCAGGGAGGCTCTCGACTATTTATCTATTGCTCCTCTGTTTGAAGCCCCCTCCCATCAAAAAACAAATAGGTTTTTAATGCTCATCCAAATACAATACGTTAAGTGTTCACCCTTAATCCATTAGTTTTTTTGCCGTAGTAGGGGAAATGTTTAGCAGCTTGTTCAGCTACGTTCATTTTCCTTCGCATTGAAAGGTTGCGACCCGGATATTGTTACATCATAAGCAGTATAAAATAAAAATGATTATTTTTAAAATTAGGAAAGCTTGTTTCTAAAATCCATAAATTGTATTATCCAGTTGTTAGAATGTAATCGTTGCTGTCATTTGGTTATTTTCATATTTTTGCAAGCAGTTCATTCAGATGTAAAGTTTTTTTTTCTTGTGCTAGCTCTAAGTGCTAGCTGTAAATGATGATATAGTTATGAAGCATTTAAAAAAAAACAACCTTCCCTGAATAAAGTAACCAAATCCACTTCCATATGACTGCCAAGAAAACTCATGAGTGCAGGGCAATTCAAAATACTGCTAATAACTTAGAACTGTGACAAATTTGTTCAGTACATAAAATAATCTGGAGAGCCATATTGTCTATTTTGCATAATGCCAAAGTATACTTAATGGTGATGTGTAAGAAAACCTTTTTGTAGTAGCATCCCAGCACTGAATTAATTTCTTTGACAAGCTTTTTTGGTTAGTTTCTACAATTCTTCATAGATTCTTAGAACTGATGACTCTTCTAGTCCAACCCCCTGCTCAAGGCAGGAGTCTTATACAGACCCAATCAAATGGTTGCACAGTCTATTTGAAAACCTCCTCAAATCAACTCATGTTTAAACAATAGTTGCAAATGACTTCACTTTGTATTGTAGACAAATACCCACCATTTTGTTCCTTTTTAGAATAATCAACATTATGCAGGGCACAGAAAAGGAACATGAAGCTGTATGCCAAATAAATTCTCATCTCTCTTTTTCATGATCTCATCAACTCCATCCAACCAAAACTGGAATGGGACAACTTGCTGCATTAGACAAGGTAGACTAGACTAGATGAATTTGACGATTTGAATACGTCTAGAACTGACAAGTGTTCTCTTACTTTATTTTTGCATATTTTAATTTGCATTCCTAACCTGTCATATACAGTTCTGCTTTTGGTAAGTTGAGTTGTGTTTTCTTTTTGTGTGAAGACAGATGCAAAGTAAAAATTAAGTAGTTCTGCTTTCCTCTATTGCCTGTTACTTCTTTGCCATCTTCCCCCATTAGTGGACTGAAAGAAACTTTTTTTTATTGTTTTTCACATTTGTTGCAAGTCTTACTTACTTTATTTATTTATTTATTATTTAAATTTTTATACCGCCCTTCTCCCGAGGGACTCAAGGCGGTGCACAGCCACAATAAAATACGTAAATCCATAAAATTTAAATAATAATAATAATAATAATTTTATTTCTATACCGCCCTTCTCCCGAAGGACTCAGGGCGGTGTACAGCCAATTTAAAAACACAAGACACAACAATGATTAAAAATTAAAATAATTAAATAGATTTGGCCGATTTAAAACCCCAAAAATTTAAAATACCCCAATTTAAAATTATTATGTTGATAGCCCTGCCTGGCAGAACAACAGGGTCTTCAATGCGCAGCGAAACACCCGGAGGTCGGAGATCTTACGTATTTCCGGGGGCAGTTCATTCCACAGGGCTGGGGCTCCCACAGAGAAGGCCCTCCCCCTGGGTGTCGCCAGCCAACATAAAACGACATAAAACGACATAAAAACAATTTAAAACATATTAAATAATTTTGGCCCTATATTAAAACTAAAAACACCCATTAAAATTCGTTATTAAGCCAGCCCAGCCTGTTGAAACAGTAAAGTCTTATGGGCACGGCGAAAGGTACGTAGGTCAGGGATCATACGAACCTCTGGGGGCAATTCGTTCCAGAGAGCAGGTGCCCCCACAGAGAAGGCTCTCCCCCTGGGGGTCGCCAGTTGACATTGTTTGACCGACGGCACCCTGAGGAGTCCCTCTCTGTGGGAGCGTATTGGCCGGTGGGAGGCTATCGGTGGCAGAAGGCATTCTCGTAAGTACCCAGGTCCTAAGCCATGGAGCGCTTTGAAGATGTTAACCAGCACCTTGAATTGCACCCGGAAGACCACCAGGAGCCAGTGCAGCTCGTGCAGGAGCGGTGTTACATGGGTGCGCCATGTCGCTCCCATAATCACCCGCGCGGCCGCATTCTGGACCAGTTGGAGCCTCTGAGTGCTCTTCAAGGGGAGCCCCATGTAGAGAGCATTATAGTAGTCCAGACGGGAAGTGACGAGGGCATGAGTGATCGTGCGCAAGGCGTCCCGGTCCAGAAAAGGATGCAACTGGTGAATCAGGCGAACCTGATAAAAACTTTGTTCAAAGCCTTAGCTTTCCTAACTTCATCTTTGCAGGTTCAAGTTCTTTGTTGATATCCTGCCTTAGTTATGTGTTCTTCTTTCCATTTTTTGTACTTACCCTTTTTTCTCTCAGATGCTATGAGAGTTCTTTGTGTAACCATGCTGGTTTTTCTCTTTTTCAGTGGTATTGAACTGGACTGAGCTTTTATAACTGTTTTTCAGAATTTCCCAAGCTTCTTGAGTTGATTTTCCCTTTAAGATTTGCATCCATGGACTTCCGGCAGTGACGTCAGAGCGGTGTGGGTGAGGGTGCGATCTATAGCTCCTGAAAGCCCAATTAATTCCTGAAAAGGAGCTCTTTAAGGGGATTTCTGAACCCGGAGGGCTCGGAATACTAAAGGGAAAGGTTTTAAGACTTTGGATGATACACTAGTGTCCTGGAGAATAAAACTGAACTCCTTAAATCCAGCGGGGAAAAACTGTCCTTAAGGCAGATCGAGAGCGATGGCGGCCGCAAAGTGAGGAAGCAAAAAGTGGATTCAGCATCGGTGGTCATGGAAGATCGGGGGGGAAAAAAAGAAAGTGAGATTTTTAATAAGCAGAATCACGAAACGAGAGAGGCACAGAGGGAAAAGAAAACGGGAATTGGGAAGGAAAGTGCTTAATGGAGAGATGATCAAATGAAGACATCAGTGAAACAGTGTAATAGAAGTGGCGGAAGAAGTTATCAACAAAGGAGATACAAAGTAACAAACTGAAATATTTGGACTTGAGTTAAGGACTTATCGCAAGGGGAAAAAAGAGTAAATACAGCACAAGAAGGAAGAAACATTGAAGGTATATATAAACTTTGGATTTAAAAATTAAAGAAGTTCTTTCCTTAAATCAGTGGACTGAGAAGGAGATAATTTTGAAAGAAATTTACAGATAGATGTGTGGACAATTGTGGACTTATAAATATTAAGAAGAAAGTAAAGTGTAGTGGGAAGAGGAAAAAAAAGAGATACAGAAGAAAACAAAATACAAAGGGAGAGTCTGGGAGTACTTAGAGATTGTGTGGTAGAATAGAAAATGACTAAGCTTGAACTGTGTGATAGAAAAAATCTGATGCAATAAGGACTGGAGAGAAGAAAATCAGAAAAGAACCCCCCAAAAAGGAAAAGTCTGGTTGGAATTTAATATACTTATACTTACTTACAGAAATTGTAATCTGAGGGGGCAGGAAGTTGTGTTTGTTAATAACTTTTGAAAAAGGGGAAGTTATAGAATATATTGCTAAGAATAATCAATGTTAAAGAACTGTTTGGATAAGTGTTGAAGAAACCAAAGGGAAGATATACCTTGATTATTTGGTATTTTATAATAATTATAGTGAAAATATTTGAAAAAGAATAAATACTTAATTAATTAATTAATTAATCTGATTTGGGGAGGAAAAAAGGGGGAACAATTGTTATAGAGCAATTGAATGGTAAAATCTGATTTGAGTGGTGGTGAATAAATTAAAGGGATTGATATATAAGAACTGGTGGTAAAAGGTAAATATAGAATATTGACTAAGAAAATTGTGGTTACAAACTGAGAACAAAAGGAGGGTAATAAAAAAGGGGGGGAGGGAAATATAGACAAATATATATTTATATATATACTAGCTGTACCCGACCACGCATTGCTGTGACCCAGTCTGGTGCTTCCGCTGGGCTAAAAGAGCGAGGCTGAAGTTCCAAACTCTCCACGACCATTTGGTGGGTGTGGCCAACTCGACGTCACTCACTTTCATCAATCACATGACAGCCCCCGAGCCACGCCTAGCCAGCTGGTGATTAGGGCAAAGAACCGGTTGCTAAAAAACAATGGGAACCACAAAATCCTCCCTCTCTGTCTCCCCCTCTCTCTTTGTATCTCTCTATGTCTCTCTCTCTCCCCTGTCTGTAACTCTCTATGTCTCTCTCCCCCCTCTGTATCTCTCTATGTGTCTCTCTCTCCCCCTCTCTCTGTATCTCTATGTCTCTCTCTCCCCCGTCTCTCTGTCTCTCTCTCCCCCCTGTATCTCTCTATGTCTCTCTCTCCCCCCTCTGTATCTCTCTATGTGTCTCTCCCCCTCTCTGTATCTCTCTATGTCTCTCTCTCCCCTCTCTGTATCTCTCTATGTGTCTCTCCCCCTCTCTGTATCTCTCTATGTCTCTCTCTCCTCCCCTCTGTATCTCTCTGTCTCTCTCTCTCCCCCGTATCTCTATGTGTCTCTCTCCCCCCTCTGTATCTCTCTATGTGTCTCTCCCCCTCTCTGTATCTCTCTATGTCTCTCTCCCACCCTCTCTCTCTCTCTCTCTCTGTATGTGTCTCTCCCCCCCCCAGTTTCCCTGTATTTCTCTATGTCTCCCTCCCTCCCTCCCTCTCTGTTTATCTCTGTCTCTGGCCCGGCCTGTTCTGCATCCCCCGCCGTCGCCCTTACCCTTTCAGGCCAGGCCTTCGCAGCTCTCCGCACCACAGCAGAAACTCGGGGGCCCCCTCCGTCCTCCCTACACAGATGTTCTCTGGGGGCTCGACAGGGAGACACATAGCAGGGAAGGGAAGGGAGGGAGGGAGGGGGTGCAGCGGGGGTTCGAGGCTGGTTTGGGGTTCCCGCCCGAAGGAAGAAAGCGGCAAAGCCAGGAGCCACGCACACCCCACTGGATCCCTGCCGCGCAGTTCTCATCCCCTGCCTGCCAAGGGCAGGGGAATGATTAAATCCCCCGCTCTTCCAGGCGAAATGAAGGAGGGCCGGCCATCCTCCCTCCTGGCCGTTTCTGCCCCCCGAAGCCTCCCAGGAGCCCCTTTTCTGCCAGAGGCCAAAATTTTTGTGTAGGCTCCGTGAACTGCCAGAGCGCCCACCTGGGAATCAAAGACGGTGCTGGTCAAAGGCGACCCCGAGGCTCCAGTTGCCTCCATCTCCCGCTCACCGACCGGCTGATCTCAACGGTCAATTGAAAATATGTTAGGGAAGGAAAAAGATAAAACAGCGCCGACAATGAATAGTATGCAAAATATGCTCCAAATGATTCAAGAGTCATTGATGAAGTCACAAGAAAGAATGGCGGATAATCAATCAGGTATTACAGAGACCTGGTTGGGCCAGGAGGGAGGGGTCCCTCTGGTTGAGATGTTCCCACCAGGCTTCAGAGCATTCCGTCAGCCAAGGGCCCAGGGTAGGGGCGGGGGTGGTGGTGGCGGTTATTATTAAAGGAGGTCTTGGTCCAAGGGAGACCACTGTGCCACAGATTGCCGGATATGAGTCCCTCTTTGTGAGGTGGGGTCAGGGGGTTCAGATGGGCTTGTTGCTAACGTACCTGGCTCCCTGCTGCGTGGCAACAGCCCTACCCGAGCTACTCGACGTGATAGCCACGGTGGCAGTTGATACTCCTAGGCTTATGGTCATGGGTGATTTCAACTTGCCATCCATTGGTGAAACGTCCGAGATGGCTCGGGAGTTCATGGCTTCCATGACGGCCATGGACCTGACCCAGTTAGTTCATGGCCCCACTCACAGGGGGGGACACACTCTGGACCTGATTTTTGTCTCTGGCCAGTGGTTGGGTGGTCTTCTTATAGGGGATATAGAGATGGAACCCTTGGGGGTTTGGCTGTGCCCAACCAATTAGAACACACCTCTGCCCAATCAGAACACAGCCAAGCTCCCACCCAATCAGTTCACACCCCCACTGGCAGTTAAAAGGAAGAAACAGCTGCGATCACACACATTACTCCTAGAAGCACAAAGCCGAGAACACCAGCCTGAAGATGACGAATGAGACTTCGTCGAAATGTTGCCAAGAAACCTCCAATTTTACGTGGGAGAAAACCTGAATAACCAAAGACATACATACATACATACATATATATATATATATATATATATATACACACACACACACACACATACACATGCTTTTTTACTTGTCTTTTATTTGATATTGTTTCTTAAAGTTAAGTTTAATTTTAAGACAATTAAGGATAATAGTGCTCCAATCTCTAAAAATACATGTAATAGTGTTCATTTCTCAGTGGTCTTTCTTGATTAATTAATACTTAATCTCTATACTCTATTTCCTTCTTTATTTCTTTTCTCCATCCATTCATACCACATGTCCCACACGCTATAAAATTCCGAATCTTCTCTGTCATTAATTTCTAAAGTCAATTTGTTCATTTCGGCGCACTCCAGTATTTTCCCGATAACATGTTCTTGAGGTGGTATTTGTTTTTCTTTCCAATACTGGGCAAAGGAAATTCTAGCGGCTGTCATTATATGTATAATTAAGTACTTTTTCTTTTTTGCATATTCAATTTTCAGGATTCCCAGGAGAAAGGCTTTTGGTTCGAAATCAAAATTTTATTTTATTATTTCCCTAATCCACATCCATATCATCCTCCAGAATTTTTGTGCCTGATTACAAGTCCACCAGCAGTGATAGAAAGTACCCTGCTGATGATCACATTTCCAACATTTAGGGCTCGAATTGGGGTAGATCTTCGCTATCCTAGCTGGGGCCATATGCTATCTATAAAACAGCTTGTATTGATTTTCCTTGTAGGCCGTCGCCTTTGTCATTTTAAGATTATTATTCCATATTGAATCCCATTCGTTCAGATTTATATTCTGTCCGATATTTTTGGCCCATGCTAACATCGGTTCTTTAACGACTTCCTCTGCCATATCGTACTCCAATAAATAATTATATAATTTGGCTAGTATTTTGTCATCTGTATCCATCCATATCTTGTCAAATCCATTTATGCTCATCTCTATGCCAAATTCCTCCTTATCTTTTTTATATCGGGATTTAATTTGATTATATGGCCACCAGTCTATAGAAGTACCTTGTTCCATCAACTCTTCCCTTGTTTTGAGATTCCCTCCCCCATCTAATAACTCATTGTATCTGACTGTTTTACCCATTTCTAGTACATTTGGATATATTATAGCCTCCATGGTGGAGAGCCATCTCGGAATTTTCATATAGTGCTTCTGGCTTATCTCGCCCCATATTTGTATCAAGATCTCCCTTATTTTATGCCTGTGAAAATAAGTTTTCGTCTTTTTCCCAGTGTCCCAGAGATATGCATGCCAGCCCTTCTGGAGATCATGCCCTTCTAAAGTTTACAGTCTTTTATTTCTCAAGATTGCCCAATCTTTCAGCCATACTAGGTTTGCAGCTTTTTGATATAACACCCATTTAGGTAATCCGAGACCCCCTCTTTCCTTCTTGTCCTGTAAGTTCCTAATTGCTATTCTTGGTTTCTTTCCCTCCCAAATAAATTTTCTAATGATAATATTGAGCTCCAAAAAGAATTTTTTATCTAATTTGACAGGAACCGAATAGATACAATAACTTGGGTAATATACTCATTTTTATTGCCGCAATTCTGCCCTAATAGTGATATCTGTAATTTCCCCCACTTTTCTAGGTCCTGTTTAATATTTCTAATCAATGGTAAATAATTATCCTCTCTGAGGGCCAAGCACCTTGATGAAATCCACACCCCCAGGTATTTTACCTTCTTGGCGATTTGGATCTCCATTAATTCTTCCAATGCTTTCTTTCTTACCTCCATCATGTTTTTTGTTAATAATTTAGTTTTTGATTTATTTAATTTAAAGCCTGCTACCTCTCCATAACTGCCCAATTCTTCCAGAATTTTAGTGCCTGATTCCAATGGTTCTTCCATAATTAATGCCACATCATCCGCGAATGCCTGTGTCTTATATATCTCTTTTCTGATTGTTAAACCCTTTATTTCATTATTATTCCTAATCTTTCTCAAAAGTACTTCTAGTGCTAGAATAAATAAAAGTGGGGATAGAGGACATCCTTGTCGGACCCCTTTTCTGATTTGAAAAGCATTTGTTAATTCTCCATTCAGTAATATGTTAGCCTTTTGTTTTTGATAGATTGTGGATATCGTATTAACAAAGTTTGATCCGAATTCCATTTGGGTAATTTGTTGTTTCATAAATTGCCAATTAAGATTGTCAAATGCCTTTTGGGCGTCAACAAAAACCAATGCCATTTCTTTGTTCGGATGTTCCTCATAATACTCCAATACGTCTATTATCATCCTTGTATTATTCCTGATTTGCCTCCCAGGGAGGAATCCATTTTGATCACTGTGTATTAATTTATTCAAAATTATTTTTAGCCTTCCTGCTAAAATGCCCATATAAATTTTGTAGTCCGTATTCAGGAGAGAGATCGGTCTATAATTTTTAATTAATTTTGGATCCTCTCCTTCTTTTTGGAGGAGTGTAATATACGCCTCTCTCCATGATTTTGGAATTTTGGATTCTGTTAGGGCCTCATTATACATTTCTAACAGCTTTGGTAATAGAATTTCCTCCAGATCTGGATTTTTATAGAATTCTCCTGGGAGTCC